CCGCTATAGGCGAGTCGCGGGCGTAAACACAAAAAAAATTGACGGAATTATTTTAAACTCCGCGTATGCCGTTTTGTCATTGTCTATTCGGGGGCGGGTGGACGAGCGCAACGCGCAATCCCCGTACGGTGACGGATCAACACTCGGGCTGGCATTGCGTGCAAGTTCGGTGTGGGGAGGGGTGGCCGGCGTTAAGGGGAGGGGAGCCGCGTCAAACGGCCTAGATGATAAATCGTGGTCAGATGGTGGTGTCCGCGCCAGGAATGTGTTAAACGCCGGAGGGCGGGCAGACAGGGAGGGAGACGGGGGTTGCGTGGTGGTGGTGGTGCGAGAAGTGGGAGCATGAGATGGGAGGGAGGGGTGGAGGCGGAATGGGTGGCAATTGCTGAGTTAGCTCGAACGAGAGGTGGCAAAGCAGAGGAACCGCTTGAATAATTAGATGGGCCACTGAGAAGGACAGAAGTTCACCCAGGGAGGAGTGGGACCAGATGATACGGCTGTTTTTAAACGCCCGTCTCGTTTAACTGCGTGCAGGCCCCGGCTCTTGTTAGCAACGCAAACCGAAGGCCGGGCGGCATCGGAACGTTCCGAAACGCCAAAACGGCCCCCGGCGTAACGGCGCCGATGGCCGGCTCTCGCTCTCTTTCTCTTTCACCCGCAGACGACTCTCCCACGCGGTGTCCTTGCGAGCAGCGAGCCTGGCGCAGGGAGCGGACTCCCCGAGCTCGCTCGTGACAAAGCGATATCTCATTCCAGGACACCCGGCGAGAGACGCGGAAGGGGTTGGGGTGAGATCTCAGGGCCGCAGTCACTGGAGCGGATCCGCTCGCTCCGATTCCATCGCGGGTTTAATCCTCGTTAGACTACCGCTCTCCCCATCCCCCCCGCTCGGCCGGGCCGAGATTTGGGGACACGCTCCTAGTTGGCTCATTCCTACTACAGCCTCGCCGGATCTCTGAAGCTGAGCACATTCGAGTCCTGGGATATCGTCGCTCGGACGGGTGATCACACTGCCCGCCAGGTTATCTGTTGTAGGCGTCTGCTGGGCTGTGCTATTTGGTGGGCAGCAGGGGAGGTAACACGTTGTTGTACCGCACCGTTCTATGCTCCCATGTTCCCACATTCACCCACCCCGCATTGAGCAACGGTGGGGAGGGGGTGGGGTGACGTATGGTCAAGCAGTCGCCACGGCGCGTACACGGAGTGGGGCGGCCCTCATCCAGCAGTGGATCGACCTGCAAAACCAACCCTTCACCGGCTTGATAGTGACACAGCTCGCAGTTGCTAAGTTTGCGAGCACAAATTCTCAGCCATTCACCCCTCTTGGGTAGGGTGGGGGGGGGCTAGGCAAAACATTGGGTACCACTTTGTCACTTTGTGGTCGAAATGAATTGTGGGCGTCCTATGGAAAGGCTCGCCCCGTCCCTGTCAAAGGAAATGCGGAATTTCAGCCACTGCCTCAGAGTCGCAGACAGGGGATTGGTATTGCTCCATACTCCAACTGAATAGGAAAGCACTCTTGATCTGAAGCTTTCGTGACTGCAGTTAGTATTTAAAAAAAGAGTGCTTTCATACTCGTTGTTTCTAATTGGTTCTTTCGGTAAAGTCACGTAGGTATATATACTTATACCTACGTGGCTTTACCGAAAGAAACAACGAGTATGAAAGCACTCTTTTTAAATACTAACTTTTTTTAATACTAAGGAATAATTAGTAAAAGTTCAATTTTATTACGTGTGTTACCATAACACCGGATTTCGTGAAATGTCAATCCGTGCAATAATAACCGTTTCTGGCCACGGTATAATTAACACATTGTGGACAGCGAATCGTAAATATCAAACCGCGGAACTCACTGCGGAGGGCAACTCATGGCACCACATGATACGTTTATAAATAAACCCGTTTTGTTGTTGGCAGGATTCTCTTTCGCTGCGGTTTATGGCTTCTCTACACTTTACTCGAATGTTAAATTAGGATTTAATGTGTCTGTGGGGAGCGGGCAGGGGGGGTATTGGAGATGAAGAGGGAGCGGAAGGGGGGGGTTTATTTAACCTTTTGACTCTGCTTTAGTTTGTAAACGGCGTGGCACGTGGGCGCTGTGTATGTATGTTGAACTTCTTTCCCACCGTACGTAGCCAACAGTGCTAATCGGACGTGCGATGGAAGGGCAACAAACTAAACTCAACAAGCAGTTTGAAAGAATTCAGTTCTCAATCTAGACTTGGAAGTGCACAAAGCTCCAGTGGATTCCTAATATCGGAAGGGAGACGGCCGCAGAAGCGCATCTGCTGATGTTTTTAAACGTGTTTTAATTCTATTACAATGAATTCAAAACTATGCTGCCCGGGTTGTAATGAGGTCTAAATGGTTTGGCAATATTACTCCCATTCTTTCTTCCCTGCACAGGCTTCCCTGTAAAGTACAGAGTCGACTTGAAGATTCATAATAAGGGTTTTTGGGTTAGATCACGTAAGTATACGTGTCGTAACCCTCCACCACCCGACACAGCCAATTAGTAAAGGATTTGTCACGTAAACAAAACGATAATTAGTTACTACTTCAGCCCACCGGTGTGTTGGAGAGTAAATCCACAACATTTACAATTTGAGTAGTGCGACGTTTCGCTGGTATAATTACATCCAACATCGTGGGACGATTCTGCTTCTCACGTTTAAGGCATTGAATGGGCCAACGCCTAAATATCTCGCCCATCTGCTCAAGTTTCATATTCCGTTGCGACAACTTAGATCTGACGATTCTGGTCTACTCATCATTCCGCAGACAAGACTGTGTTGATGTTGTTGTTGTTGTGTTTATGTTGTTGTTGTTTGTGATTATGTTGTTGTTTGTGTTGATGTTGTTGCATCCAGGCTCCGCGATTGTGGAATCCCCGTCCTCGGTTAATTTGGGATTCTGAGCCTGTGTCACTTTTCAAAACACCGTCTTAAAACTCATCTATTACTACAACAGGCTTTACCCGTAACTTAAGATTTTAAAAAGATGTTATCCGATTAGATTACTCTGTAATCATCATGTTCGTTCGCTTCTATCATAGCTCTTCATTTTATGGAAAATTGTAGTGCAGTTACTCATATTGTTATTATCAGCTTTCTATTTCGCTTACATTTTAACTATACTTGTGAGTGTAGTTTTATTTTTTACTTGCAGCGCTTTTAAATTCTTCAATATGAAAGGCGCTTGATAAAAAAATAGACGTTATCATTGTTTTGTTGTTATTAAAGCGCGCGTTATGCTGTGACCGTCTTTGCGCTGTAAGGTTTTGAACGGCTCCTTGCCAACCTCCCTGCGAGTCGCAGTGTTTAATCCTGCGCCAATGCCACGAATGACCCCCGGGGTTCCCAACTCTGCTCGGGGTAGCTCTGCCACACCAACGAGCTGTCGCGATTTCGTGTCGTTGCTCCCCTTGTGTTGCCGTTCGGCACTGAACCATCAGACATCGTGCCAGAACGGCAAAGCTGTCGTGCGCGACTCTCCTACTGGTCATTATTCGGGTTGTTGAAAACTGGTTGGGTTTGCGTTGCAGGTAACCGTGTTTAAAAAAAAAAAAAAACACGACAGGAACGCACCAGATATTAGTTCACCGATTGGCTACGTACGGTGTGAAAGAAGTTCAATATACGTACATCCTACAGTGGATAGATCATGGCTGAAGGTGATGATGATGATGTTGATGATTCTGTGCCAATGGCCAACAGTCGGTGGGAAAAAATAAATAAACGATTCTCCTATGTCATGAAAACAGATCGATCAATCTAGATGCACAGCGGCAAGCATGTCACGTGTCTGCTCTCGAGACTGAAAATCGAATGTAGCTGCCACAGTGGTGGAATAGTCAGCACACTGGACCTGCATTCCGGAGGTCAAGGGTTAGATTAAATTTCCCGGCACGGCACAGCACTTGAAACCGAAGGTGCGAGTTTTTGTTTGTTTGTTTGTTTAAAATCTCTCCGCGCTGCCTCTGTCCACCCCGCTCTATAAAACATGCACACCGCATCACGGGACCTCCTTTGCCAGGAACAAAATATGAGAATAAGTTTTCCCCTTTATTCTGGCAACAAAACAGCTGCGTTAAGATGTTAAACACCAAACTGAAACCTTTTACAAGGAATCATGTCTGCATTAACCACAATACTTGTGGTCAGAATGCAAACAAAAAACGTACTCTGATAATATATGCATTGTCTTTGAAACTGATTGGTCCACACCAGAGACAGCTTTCTTTTGAGCCGAGTCTCAAAACGGTGTTAGACCAGAGGACGCCAAAAGGCTGTCTCTGGTGTGGACCAATCAGTTTCAAAGACAATGCACATATTATCAGAGTAGGTTTTTTGAATTCTGACCACAAGTATTGTGGTTGATGCAGACATGATTCCTTGTAAAAGGTTTCAGTTTGGTGTTTTAACATCTTAACACCTATTTAGTTGCCAGAAAAAAAGGGAAAACCTATTCTCGTGCACACCGCAGTTTAGCCGATCAGTCGGCCCGCGTGCGGTGGGGTAAAGCGTGGGCGCTCCTCTGCCCCTTCCGACAAACGCGTCCGGTCAATGTGGCAGATCAGGCCACCCCAAAAAACTTACCCTCGGTGGCGTGAGGAACCGATCGCAGGGGCCACACCTTTACCCTACGACCACACTCGGCCTTTACCCTACGTCCACACTCAGCCATTGCTTTTCGATGGCCGTACTCCGACGGGGCAAAGTTGTTAATTTGCGGGCTCGTACCACGCGCGCGGCGGTAATTGCATTCAGGACCAGCAGCAGTGCCCTTGGCCTCCTCCGTAATTTCATCAAACAATGGCCTTTTTTTTTTTGTCCGCATCAAATATGAAAATATATGGCTATTATAAGTTAACCGTAATTTAACTAATTTTATTTTAATGTGCGCGCGTAGGGTTTTGAAAGCCCTCGGTGCGAAGCTGCATAATTACCAACAGATGATTACAAGGAATTTGTAACAATAATGATACAGGAGGGTATTGGCTACATTACGATGATAAAAGATCACCTATAAATAATTACTGGGCTTCCCCCCCCCCTCCTTTTGGAAGCCGACAAGCATCTGGTTTCCACGCACATCGGTAAAGTTACTGAAAATGTGCACGCACACCAGCCCAGTTTTGTTAATCCACTGTTGGATATAATTGTATGCATGTGGAACTTCTTTCGACCCGTACGTGGCCAGCCGTGCTAATCGGAGGTGCGTGGGGAAGGTCAATAAACTAAACTGAAGACAACAAGCAGGATGAGGGCCTCCCCGCACGCTGTGCAGGCCGTGATGGTTATTTGCCCATACTTCACCACGCTGGTCAGTGCGATGCCTTGTGCACCTGTGTCATGCATGGTGCTTACCCCTCCAAGCAACTAATCAGGCTCAAACCTGCTTACCTTCTGAGATCTTCCAGAATCGGGCACATTCCTGGCGATTTGGTCACGGGATAACTGAAAACAGAAATCGCAAAATGTTGAAATCATGCGCAAGATGACAGCGTGCCCGTGTTAAAGTGAAAACGAAATATATATATCTATCCCAACCATTTTATTAATTTTATTTTTAAAACCGAAACATCACACTATTTTTGAATCCATCCGAATGTTATGCCTGTCCGTCTGCCTACGCTTGCGCCGGAGTTGAAGCCCACGTGCGCGCGTTATCTCGCGCGCCCATCTCTGGTGGTGACGCCACGTGAAGCGAGCGTGCGATTTGCACATTACACACACACACACACGGTGCGCGCGCGTCGGCTGCACGGTCAATTTAGCAGATAATGCTTGAATTACCCATTGGCATTCATCTTCCAGCAGATGCCTATGCAGCTGTTGCTGGTGTCTTGGTCCACTGGAATGAAAGCAACTTTTTCCGCGGAAACATTTTGCGACTCTGCGAAAGGCATCGCGAGTTTTTTAAATTTAATTTTTATACGTTGAACAAAAAGCTGAACAACAAATATGTTGTTGTGGCATTCGACAGATCTTGTCTTAACTGGGTTTTGGTGAAATATTTTTGTCGAGCGTTGCTTTTTGCAAAAAAAAACCCAGCAGCAGTGATAGCCATCCGCTGCACGTGATACATTTTACCATGTTGCCATCGTCAGTCGTGATACATCCACCGCTGGACGTATGTATGTACACATAACTTCTTTCGTACCGTACGTAGCCAACCGTACTAATCGGAGGTGCGTGGGGAAGGGCAGCATACTAAACACAATAAGGATGTTATCATGAAACTAGTTTTTAATCTAGATTGCCCTGAGATGCGTCAATCCATCGTGCATCTGCACATGAGCCAAATTCATTGCGCTATCTCCACAGTAGGCGTTAACCCGGTCATAATCTTTTCTTCTAGCGACGTGTACTGCCCAGGGCAACTTACTTTTCTTAGCAGCCAGTAGTATGTCTCTAACTTGCCTACGTTCTCGAATGCATGTGTTCCTCTTCCTGCTCCCTCGGTGTAATTACGAGCATGCATCTCTTCATGCTCCATCGGCGTCAATGTTTCTGGTACGTACGTCACAGCACGGTCACGCATACCCACATCATCGCAATCATAATATTTATTCATACTGGAGGAATTCGATGAGCAATAAAGCTCCTTTTCATAGATGTCCAGTAGGGGTAGGTAGGCCAGCACGTTACAATAATGTTCAGTAAATACGAAACACATCGAGATTCCACGTTGAGGCATCCAGCAAAATCGGTTGAACTTGAAAAGCACAAGTGACCAAGATCGCTATAACCGACAGATGAGATTTCGCAGCACGTGTATGCACGTACGTATGTTGAACTTCTTTCGTACCATACGTAGCCAACCGTGCTAATCGGAGGTGGGGGGGAAGGACATCAAACCAAGCACAAATAACGTAAACACACTTCGATTGTTCAAACATTATTTTCGCAAAGCTAATCGACACTGGTGTCTTGTTGTTAAAATATTCAGAAATGAATTAGATGTAAAATTATGCAAAAAAGCTGCCCTTGTTTCAGCTGCCGCTGCTCTTCGTGTATGCATGCGTTTTGAGCTTATTTCGCGTCGTGCTTTAAATTGCCCGCCTAGCGAATAAAACCATAAAATCAGCCAACCTTTCTTACCCGCGAGCCGGGCCACCCCTCCAGGCAATATAACCGCACCGTAAAGCGTCCCTTTCAAGTGTTTACGAAGCCTGAAGTTTGCGGGATGATAAAGCTTCTGTAAACAGACAGACGCTCCGCCATGCCTGGACACCAGGTGGCCTTTAATGATGCTGAAATGACCGTATGGGCTACTGATATATTATCCTGACCTTTTCGAGTCTCCGATGAACATTAGCGCGTTAGGCTGGCCATCTGGTGGGTGGCTCGAGAAGGTAATTGCTGGAAGATCCTCCGCGCAGAAGGAGGAGGATACCCAAGCCACGCGCAGGCAGATATACGCGCAAGAGAAAAGAGGAGGATGAATGATGGCACCTACCTGTCTCCAGGACAGCTAATTGATGGGGATTTTTTATGACGAGCGGGCTAAATCACTTGTTCCTGGGACGTCCCAAGTTGGACGCGTCCTTTGTCAAAGTTGGACGGAGCTCACCGATCATCCATCACCATCCACCGCGGGGGGAACGCAGTTTTCGCCGGCCAGGCTGCTCCTTAAGTAGTGAATGATGATGCATTGCGGCAGGGGAGCAGACGCGGAGGCACAGAGATGCATCGCCGTTTAATTGCAAACTTCCCGAAAAAAAAGGCAAGAGCGCACAAAAATATTAATATATAAGTAACCCAGCGAACGCAGAGAGCGGCTTTTGCGTTTTGTTCGTTTCCTTGAATGATTAATGTGCATCGTTAGAATTTTTTTTATGCGCCGTTGTTTCAGAATGTTAACGGCGCGGCGGTTTGAATGTGGTCTAACGAGTATTGTTGGTTTGCCCGATGCACTCTGGGCACAATTAATTGCCAATTAACAACACATATAATCAAACAATTCTACGAAATAATCTCATTTGTAAAAGACTGACTGAAAGCAACATTTCTACAAATTGTTTTTATGGATGCTCCAAACTATCTGAAAACTTTTTCACGAAACAAAAAGATTAAACACGAAGACATTTTTTTCGAAGGCTGTAAAAGTCGGGTTAAATATGCAACCCGTGAATGCAAAGGTCAAACGTATTGGCACAGATCTCGGTAACTATGGCAGCCCGAACCAAAACAGCAAAGGTGAAATTCATACCGTCAAAATACTTCATGGCAGAAATGGCGCTCGTCGTATTGAAAACAGCTGTTTAACAAAAATGTGGGCACTGGACTTTTTAAATGGCGCAATATATTGCATGGTGGAAGGAGACTTCATTAAAAAAAAACTAAATTTTTAATTTGTTTGCATAAGCATTACTCTTAAACCGTTATTATTACCTACGTGTAATTGACCGCTCGATTTTTTTTGCGCCATAAATGTTTAATTATACACCCGTTATTTATTTACGTCTTAATTTCCAATCTTCGGCGCACGATATACAGCCCTGAGACGCGGCGGCGGCGTCTCATTTCGCGCGGCGGTAATTCCTGGGAGTAATTAACGGTGCTTGGGTGCGACCTGAAAAAAATGCATCACACCTCCAGCATCCGCATATTTTCGGGGGGCGGAGGAGGTAGGCGGGGGGGGCATTACCCTCGAGTCAGAGTTTGATTAAGACCACAAGCCCACGACAGCTATACAAAGCCTCGTGGGCATATGTTTGTGATAGGCGCTGCACTTCTCAATGCTGTCCCAGGCCGTACGGGTGAAACGGTACTCCGCATTTTTTCGGAGGCCAAGACTGGTGCCGGCCATCCATCTCATCTCCATGGAAGGGTTGTGCCCCCCCCCTCTGCCCCCCCTCACTTCCCGCCCCCCCCCCTACCCTTGCGCCCAGCAGGGGTTCTCAGCAGGCCCTGACAGCCCTCCCACCAGCTACAGGACAGCTGCAGACATTTTCTACTTTCAGCTCCTGATCACTTGCGGCCCTGACACACAAGAGTGGAAGAAAAAGAAAAATGGGATATATTTATTAATTTATTGTCTTATTCCTCCTGCTGGCCCACAGGCAGGCCCGCTGGCCACACTCCAGAAGAGATTAACATCTCCCCCCCCCCGCTCCCACCGGGAAGCTGACACTCGGTTCCCAGACGCAGCGCCTCTAAAACAGTGCCACTTTCTCGAGGCAGGCGATCGGGCTCGAACAATGACGCTGACCAAGGAGCCGACTGTGTTGGCCCATCTTGGGCCGTTCAGGCAATTGCTGTTGTGAGCGCCCATTAAGGCTTGCGTGGTGCGCCCAAAAGGAGGGGTAGTTGTGCTCGGCATCGCGCCCGTGATGCCTCTGTCTCCTCAGAGATTATGTTTGAACACCACACCAACATCCGCATGCCAAGGCCGTAATTGTAATATATATATTGGGGGGACACATATTGGGGGACACACATATATTGGGGGGGACACATCCCCCCCAATATTCAAATATGCTCAAAATGTCCCCCACCAATATATTGCTATTAAAATATAATTGCTATGCTATGTAAATAAAACAACAATTTTCTAAACCTTGGCCACAATATCTGGACTTGTCTTCATATAAATCAATGCATAGATTTATGTTTATATGATTGTGGTTATGGTAGTACTTTATGAATCTCTAATCTCTGCCATTACATACAATGAAAAATGAAATGGTTAAAAAGTAAAAACAGAGCAATGTAATGCAATACACTATTAGACATTGTCAAAAATAAATAAAAAGTCCATCCCATGTGTTAGTGAGTTTTTTGTTAATATTTTAGGCAGGAAATTAGTTATCAAATTTAGATATTTTTCTGGGTTGGGACCCCCAGACACCCTGGAAGATTTGGTCCCCCCCAATGTTGACTCCATGGCTACGGCCTTGACCCATACCATCACCACCAACCACACCGCAGGTCACAATACTTCCCTTTCTGCTCCTTTCTTTGTCCGGCTCAGCTTTGGAAATCCCCTCCCATCGTCCTCTTTGCCAAGTTTGTTATGACTTGAAATCAAGAAACGTATCCGAGCGCATCCAGTATAGCCACGAGGGTGCTGTTTGCTTGCTGGCCGCTTAGCGTTTTGGGTTCATGGCCTCTGCTTGGCAACCTCGAAAAAACGCACATACACCAGGTGCCCTTTTAAGGACTCATGAACCTGGGTGAAATTCCAGGTTGGGGTTCAGACGCCACTTGACAATTATGTGTGTGACTGGGCATTGAACCCAGGTCGCCTTGATCCAATGCACTACCCCGCACAACAACAGCTGCCGTTTGCCACTAAGTGGCGGTGATGTCACCACAGCGACTGTGCCAGGCTGGACGCCCTCATGCCAGGCTAAATGCAAAGTGCTGCAAAGACAAAGATCCCCCGTATAGCCTTCACAGACTGTTGGGGCAAGTGATGTTAGCGACCACCTATGAAGGTCGACACGGCACACAAGGGGGTTGGTGACCAGCACCACGCCCGGCCGCCTTTGTCTCCCAAGTGGCAATGTTTACATACTGTACCAGGTACTCATTTGAGTCCACGTAGGGGAGGCACACGATCAGTTCAGATAATTGTCACTCGTGTTGGCCGTGTGCGGGAATCAAACTCGGGCTCCCATGTTCATAGCACGGCGCGCTAACCGCTACACTACCGCTCCCCCCCCCCCGACACACACATATACATACATACTATTCTTTAATCTCAAGCAATTTATGTGGGTCCTGTTAAAGTGTTTTTAAAATCAAACACTTGAAAGGATTCTTTCGTAATTTAATTCGATGTTTCACTTTTTCACTTATGGATGAACAATTACACAGAATTTGAGACATTTGAACCATTAATGCAACGCAATGTGATTTATAAATATTAGAAGAGCACTGCGCTCATGAACGAAAATACCCTCCGGCAGAAACGCACCTCAAATAGCATTCACAATGAGCCCCTGTTAGCAGCACAGCGTTTAAACAGTCACCAACAGTCAGCAGTTGTTGGGATATTGTTGATCTATGAGGCGCACCGTAACAAATGTCTTTACGCGTTGACAATAGTCGTGTTAGCTTGTAGCCAACGTATTTCAGAGACACTGAGAGTAAGACGAGGATCATGATTCCATCGTGGCCACGGCCATTTATGCCACCGCACGCCCTCACCAAAGCGTTTTGTCCTCTGCCAGATCCCACAGCTGCTGCACTGAAGACGTACAGCGACCTCTAATATCTGACCTCACAGTGCCCCACCGTCTGGTCTTGGGTCTGCTTTACATAGGCATCCATAGGCTCACCACATAGAGGCCCTTTGATTTACAGAGACCCAAAGTCTCACTTACAGGCCCTTAGCTTACACATACACAGACACCACATAGCCTCATAGAGATTAAACATTTGTATAGAGACCGATAGACTCACAGAGAGATGCTTAGATGTATATCGATATTAAGATGTTAGCTGCGGACTCGTGAAGATCACTCCAATGCCTTCGTGCACACGTCTCCCATCCAACCGACGCTTTATTGCCATCATCATCATCATCTTTAGAACACTTGCCTGCCACGTTCTCCCTCCGGAATTCTCAGTTGCCTATCTTAACCTACCCTAACAAACGCATTCCCGGGACATTTGGAGTGGAGCACCAACAAGTTGGTGAAGTGCACGGGCGCGAGAATTAACGTGCGTGCGGCATGATGCACAGAAAAGAAGCATGATGTTTTACTTGATGGAAAGCAGCCTGATAATATTAAGACCTTCCCTGAATACATTGCCCGGGGCTGTAAAGGGCAAGGTGACCTCGTGCTAAATCCTACCACTTTATGTTAGAGACAAGTTTCCTGGCTTGATGACATGCGTGGATTCCTGTCTGACTGGGTGACACGCGCCCAAGTGCTCGCGCGTGATGGTGACGCCACCGCCCATATCTGCGTGATGCCGTCACCCGCATCGCACGGCTTTGGGGCGGGTTCCTGCGTGCTGACGTCACCCCGCCCCCCCCCCCCCCCCCATCAATCCACCCTCCACCCCGGGCGTATATCCCACACAAATGTGCGAGAAACTCCATGATGCCATCATCACGTAATCGTACTCTCACCATCATACTCATTCTACCATACTATATCAGAACAAAGGGAAGGACGTGAGGCAGGGAGGTGGAGGGAGATAGATGAGGGAGGAAGAGATGGAGAGGAGAGGGGCAGGGAGAGAGTCAAAGGGCATGAAACGGAGATGACGTAAAGAGGAGCAAAACGGAAAGAGGAGAGAGCGAGAGAACGCGACAAGCAGTGGGAGAGAGGATCAGGGAGAGGCAAGAGACGCTGAGATGGAAAAGGGAGAGGTGGGAGTGAGCGTGAGAGGCGAGGAAGAAAGGAGAGAGATGTGGTGGGAGGGAAGTGGATGAGATAGAGCGGAGGAAGGAGAGGAGACAGAGGAATTGCCTAACATTGAAATATAGACAAAGCGAAACATTGAGGTACATTCCGATGTCCAGCACAGAGAAGGCAAGACAGAGATAGAGAGGCTGTAGAGAGACAGGGCTCTGTATGAGAATAAAAGTTTTGCTGGCTGGCTGGGAGGCTCGGACGGATGGTCACGTCGAAAGGTCGCGGAGGACTTTAAAAAAAAAAATCTTCATTAAAGAAATACACTGCGCAGTTCCTCAACGCGTTTTCGGGTCGCACCGCGTGTTGCTCGCCACGGTT